GGCCCATGTGAAGTCCACTGTCTCTCATGATTTCATATGAAGCTTTTAGTTGAAGTCACTGGTATGACCTACTTTATTGTTAGGGAATTGTACAAAACTAGAATACAAATGGATTAAACTACTTAATTTAGAGAGTATACCATGATTGACAACATGTGGTTTGATACCTTGCAGCAGACATTTTGTAAAATGCATTTTTCATGAAAATTGTCACTGGTGTTACTGTCACTGGTGTTACCTTCCTAATGGGTAACACCAGTAAAGATCAGTTTACGTTGATGCTCTTTTACTAACTGCTTTCACTGATTGCCAAATGTATGCCAAATGTAACAATTTAGTCTTATCTACTTAATTGTAGTTAAAGAATAAGGATCTTTGGTCTTATGTATGTCACTGGTGTTTCATATTGTGTTATATTCATATTTTCATATTGGTGTTACTTTTTTTCTGTCACATTCTATAAAATGTGTCACATGTGACATGATAATAATTTTACATCTATTGAATTCTGCTTCACTCAAGAGTTAAGATGTAAAGGATTGCATCATTACTTGTTTATAACTGTTTTTACAAATATTTTCATTGTTATAGCAAATACATAGTTGCGCAAATGAACTAACATCATTCAATCACACTTTTAACAAACCTGATTAAAATAAACAAAACATAATCTCCTTACTTGTTGCATTATCATTATTGTTCTGTAACTCTGACTACATGTACTAAAAAATTTAGAAATAATATTTCACAAAAACCTTTAAAATTGCCAGAGAAGTAAGGTAACACCAGTGACAAAAAAATGGTACATGTGGTCTTTAAATAAATGCACAAAAAATATAAAAAACCATTAAGCTGTCATTTATGTGTATTCATAAAGTCAAAAGATAATATAATAATGTGGTCTAAGTTTAAATGTTAAAAAAAGAAATACATTTTAAGACATCTTGCCATACCAAAAGTGGACGTTTCTGTAGAATGACCCATATAATGATTGCAGTGTCACTACTGAGTGATACAGAAGTGTGAAAACTGCACTGGATGTCACTGGTTTTGAATGAAACGCTGCATGTGCGAACATGACTGACATTCAACTTCATACTTCGAGAAACAAGTATGCAGTTTTCTGCTGATTGGGTTTTGGACCAGAAAATATGAGCTTAATTAAGAAAAAAATAAAAGTTGGAATATCTAAAAATGTCATCCTTGTAGTACCATGACGATTTTAAATGGATTCGAATAGAGAAGAATGTTCGGAAAAAGTATGTTGGAGATTACATATTATAACAAAAAAATTTAATTTTCATTTAGTTCAAGGTTTAAATAACCTAATAAACTAAAATAAAAAGGAAATAAACAACTAAATAAAACACAACAACATTACTAAAACCTACTAACTAAAATCAGTGAAAGGAGAAAATTAAAGATGCCATAAAACTATTGCATCAGTGTAATGCTGGATAGAATCAGTGCATGTACCAAAACTCAATGATGATGTCTCTCTACATTTTCCCTCTGCAGGTTCAGAGAATGCATGTGCGAAAACGTCATTCACGTTCCTAAGACAGGAGCTGCCTGTCAGGCTGGCAAATATAATGAAGGAGATAGATGTATTGCCTGATAATCTTCTGAGAACTCCTTCAGTGCGCCTGGTGCAAAGCTGGTCGGTGTGAATGCACACATGCGCACTAATTATTCTGATATGTGTGCATATGTAAGCTACGTTCTGTGGTTGTGTTGCATCTCTGCAGGTACAGGTGCATCTCAATAAATTAGAATGTCGTGGAAAAGTTCATTTATTTCAGTAATTCTGTGCATTGAATTTATTTAATACACGAGTTTCACAATTTGAGTTGAATTACTGAAATAAATGAACTTTTCCACGACATTCTAATTTATTGAGATGCACCTGTACATGCACAGCTTCCAGGATATACTGGAGTTCAAGGACAGGGATGTTGATGATGAAATGCTCATACAAGAGTAAGAGATTCATCAAATACCTTCTAGTAGAGGTCTTCTTGGGTCCTAAGGACGGACCCTTTCAAATTACTAGGGTTCTCAGAAACAGAAGTCTTCATAGTTAGGTTAACAACTCTACTACAACAAATATAACTACATTTGCCCCAAGAGCATTTCTGTAATTTAATGCCATGGTATTATAACGCAAAGTATAGTTATATATACACATGAAGAGTTCGGATGCGAAAGCCTCTAAGTGCCATTTGACATTTTCTTCTAAAAGGAGCAATTTTATCAGGCTTGATTGGTTCTTTTCATTGCCATTAAAGTGAAATAACTGAACATAAACATAAGAGCCTGATGAAAATGCTAATTTTAGAAGAAAATTTCAATATAACTTAAATTAATTTCAGAAATTTTATATATATATAAAAATAACTTTAATAATTTTTATATTATGAAATGTTGGTCAAATGAAAGAAAGATGTCAAATTTGACATCACTGCATTAGAAACACTCATGCAGCAGTGTTAACGAGTTTTCTGTAATTTAATGCTAACTAAAAAAATAAAAAAACTCCAAAGTATAAATGAATATATATATATACAGTGGGTACGGAAAGTATTCAGACCCCCTTCAATTTTTCACTCTAATGTTTGCTAGATTTACACTATTAATAACTATGGAAACATGTCATCACATGTTGCTGCTGCATGCATCTGTATTTGTAGTGTTTGGTAATTTACACAGAAGCATGGATTGACAGAGAAGAAGGGGGATAATAATAATAATATAATAGAATTCTTGATATGCATTTGTTTTGAATAATAAAATATTGCTAAATGCTCAAAATGAGAAGTGAAAGGTTGGCATGTTTTAAAATAACTTTCGTCTTCTTGGGTCTATTTGATAAAACTGCATTTATTAAAAATGATCCCAAACCCAAGGCTACTAATATCAGACCCGACCCGTGTCTAAAGCACCCGTCTTAAGTTTTGAACCCAAATGCACTTGGGTCTCAATCCAAGTGGACCCATGAAGACCTCTACCTTCCAGTCCTACCTGTGCTCACACACACACACTCTCTCTCTCTCTCTCTCTCTCTCTCTCTCTCTCTCTCTCTCTCTCTCTCTCACACACACACACACACACACACACACACACACACACACACACACTCTCACTCACTCACTCTCTCACACACACTCACTCACTCACTTCTGTTGTTTTAGCTTCACAGATGCTGTGATTAAGATCAGGAACCGTCACAATGACGTGGTGCCCACCATGGCTCAAAGAGTGGTGGAATACAAGGAGACCTACGGGACCGACCCGGTCTCCAGCCAGAACATCCAGTACTTCCTGGACCGGTTCTACATGAGCAGGATCTCCATCAGAATGCTCCTGAACCAGCACAGTGAGACCCACACACACACACACGATGCTTTATAATGCGCTCCATGATGGACAGCAGAAATGCACAGTCCGATGAATGGGGCTTCTGGAACGTGTAGATTGGATTAGCAGCATGTTTACAAGTTTCCCAGATATCATGGATTGATGGGTCAGCCAGTAAACATCGAGCTGTGTTGTTTCACCACCAGTAAGATGTCTGTCTGTGTGTTTCCAGCTCTTCTGTTTGGAGGAAAGATACGTGACAATCCTGCTCATCCCAAACAGATCGGCAGCATTGACCCCAGCTGTTGTGTCACTGATGTCGTGAAAGGTGACAGTGATCTATCCATCTCATAAACATGTAGCAATAATTAAAGATTTTTTATTAACGAGGCATTGACAATTAAGAAAATGTTCCCTCAAAATTCTCATTTTTTTAAAATACTTTTTTACATTTACAAGAGAGCAATGATATGCAAGTGCTATAACAAGTCTCAGTTAGCTTAATGCAGTACACATAGCAAGGGTTTTTTAAATGATATAATAAATAAAAAGAAAACAGATAGAAAAAAGAATAGAGCAAGCTAGTGTTAGAGGCCTTTTTTTGCTTTTGTTAATTGTATAATAAATAAAAAGAAAACCAATAGATAGAATACAAAAAAGATTAGAAAAGCTAGTATTAGTTTTTTTATTTTTTAAAGAAAACAAGCAGTAAATGAATAGAGTGCAAGTCTAAAAGGGACACGTTTTTTTTATTTTCAAATCAGCATAAATTCAGTACTGCAAATGCTACCATGATGAATAAATACTTAAACGTATATGAACACAATTTAAGTAATATATCATTTATGCAGTAATTTATAACTTATAAGAAACTTCACTAAGAACAGCAAAAAACAACCCTTAAAAGTAAAACATCTAGACACATTACAGTAATGAGAATTTGATCAAATGTTTATGTCAGCATAAATTTAATTCAGTAGAGCCAATGTTACTGTGATTAAATGTTTGAATGCATTTGACATTTTTCATTATTTTTTCTGCAGTAATGAAAATGGGGAAAGGTAGACTTAATTTAAGCCATAATGATTGATTTATTTATGAATTTTGAGTTGAAATATGATCTGAATGCCCTAGCAACCACCCAAAACACGTTAAGAAACAATGTAGCAGTGCCCTGGCACACAGCCACAACAGCAACTTTTCCCTTGACGAGCGCCATTTATATTTTCTTCAGAATCTATAAAACATCAGTTTTCCTGTTCAATATTTCAACCTTTTCCCGTTACTGTATTTCAGATGCTTATGAAAATGCCCGAAACCTTTGCGACCGGTATTATATGAACTCACCTGAGTTAGTACTGGAAGAATTTAACGGTAGCTTCCTGCTGCACGCACATTTACTACAAGACTGAATGAATGATTAGTAAACCATCAGCTTTCCACATGACGTGTGAGTGCTGTTTCTTTTGTGTCTCCGCTGCAGTTAAAGGGCCTGATAAACCCATTGCTGTGGTGTATGTGCCGTCTCATCTGTACCACATGGTGTTTGAGCTCTTTAAGGTGCTGTGCTTCAGTTCTCACTGCTGAAATATTGAAGTATGCACTCATCTGGAGAGAATATTTGCCCGGAGTTCTGAGTAGAGTGTTAATATGAGTTTTAGATCACGTATGCTGTTGTGTCTCATGATGTGCAGTGAATGGCTTTGCTCTTTTAGGTGAGCAGCAGCATGCTGAGCTATAAATATGTTGTGTGACTCCTGCAGAATGCCATGCGCGCCACCATGGAGCTTTATGAAGATGCCATGGAGTATCCCCCAGTGCATGTGCAGATCGTCCTGGGCCACGAGGACCTGACTGTGAAGGTACAGATGCGGTCAGATCTGTGGTGACGCCTCACTTCACCAAACAGCCAGCTGGACTCATCTCAATTAGACTGAC